CAATGTGTGTCTATATGTTTATTCTATAAATTAAGGACACGTCCATTATTATCGGAGATATTAAGGGTAAATCATTGCCACTTTCTTCTTTTAACTGCAACAGTTTCCCCCTCTATATTGAACATTGTTTCCTTTTGCCTTCAATATGGATTGTCACTTTGTATTGGGCAATCTAAAATTCATGTCAAAGACCAAATTACTCTCTTTTCTCGTGTCAAGAAAAAACTGAAAAAATATCCCCTGCTTTATCTCTTCATATAATTGTTGAAGAATTAGAAATTAAGTGTAGCAATTAATCTTTCATAGCCACTTATGCATGCTACAAAACTCCAGTACAAAAAAAAGCAAATAGTTAGGTTAGGTGCAGAAGAGAGAAGTTATGATTGTGCTTTGAGAAACAATGAACTGCAGAATCCTTGATGGGCCTTATCAGCTATGACTTTTGAGTAAAGATAAAGATGCTTTGTCTGGAAGGAATCAGTTCTGTAACTGCTGTCTAAGCAATGACTCACTTGTTAAAATGTAAAACAGCTTGTTGGGTGGCTTTATTCCTTTGTTATATGTTCAAAATTCGAATATCAACAGGCATGTTTGGCATCAAAGCATATATGACTAATACACGAGTTTATAATGTTATTCTCACCAATATACTAATTCTTTGGAGTCATATCTATAGCTGCATCCAAGAAGTGACCATCTAGTTTCCCATCAACTCTGGACCTCTTACCCGAATATATAGTTTTCATGATGTGTGTTCTAGGCATATTATACCACCTACTTGCAAATGGCATCTAGTTCAAACCTAAGAATTCATATTCCGTGTTTTGAGATGAAATTAAGATCTCAAACAAATAACTACAATTTCTCTTTGAATTATTTGTGCAGACTCTAATGTAGAAATTAAAATAATTAACCAAAAAAAAAGCTCTTGGGGTTGCAGGATTTAGTCCTCTTTTAGTTTCTGAGGAAGTGTTATGACTTATGAGCTAGCTAAGGCCTTCAAAAAAAAAAATATTATGAGAAGTAAATTAGTTTGAATGAAGTTCAAACGCTACATGATATATATAACACCTTACTTATAGCATCATAATTGTATTTTTTAGAGGGGAGACATAGAGAGAAGATCTCAAGAACCCCTTTCTTATAGCATCATAATAGTATTTTTTTTTCCCTGTTTCTAAGGAGCAAAAGAGAAAGGAAAACAATAACATAACAACAGCAGTGGATCTTCATAAACAAGCTATGCTTTGATATAAAGAGTAATTGAAAACTCATTCTTCCATTAGTAACTTCTGCTGTCGGGCAATGAAAGCCTCAACCTTGCGCCTGAATTCTTCACTGCTCATTTCGTCCTCTGCATGGGAATTCACTACTGGTTTCTCACTATAATTTACACTTTCCCAGTTTCTTTCCGTCACTGATCGCCTTAGTTCCCGACAAGGCTCCACATGGTGCAATTTCTTAAAATCCTCTGATTGACACCTATGAATCTTTCTTTCCTTGGAACCAAACAGATCAGGTGTAGCTGTACAATCCTTATCCCTGCTCTGTTTCCCCTGGTTCTCACTCTCAGTCCCATAAATATTCTGATTCTTTTGACTGTTTTCGACATAATCATCATGGAAATCAAATTTGATGTTATTGTTGGTATCATCTTGAGCTGAAAACTGTCCAGATTTCCAGAAGAGAGTAACGATTATCACGTTTCCAACAACGAAGACAAACCGAGTACTGACCAGGGTGACTGAGAGGCCTCGAAAGTATTCACCAGAGAGTTTGAAATTAGCGAGAGGAAATTGACAGGAAAACCTGGTGATAATCACGAGAAAGATGAATATTTCGATGAACCTGAACAGGGTTGTGATTTTCTGACGCCTACGGTACCTCAAGATGGCGTTGGCCTTCTCGAATTTAACATTCTGAATGCCAAATGAATCCATTTCTCCCCCCAAAATTCTATTGCCTTTTTTTTTTTGAAATTTGTAGTGCAAGATGAGAGTTAGGAATGTCACTCGAAAGAGATTTGATGTGGGATCAAGAGTTTGGCTCGAGCCAATCGTTGAAACAGAGTGCAGAAATCGAGTATAGAGATCATGGTGACGAACAAAAAAGGGAGGAAGGGAGAAATAGAAAGTCACAGAGAATGTAGAGATTGAGAAATTGAGCTGTGTTTGGCTATAAGGTTGAAGGGTTTCCCTCTTCTTTTCGGCTTTTGAATGGCAGTGATTTTGAAGGTAGGTTTGGTTTTTATAGCCCAAGAAAAGTAGATTTTTCTTCTTTTTCTTTAGTGGTTAGTTATTTTTTTTAATTAGTTCTAGAACATTAACTTTTGGAAAAGCTAAAATGATACCCCCTATAGATTTCTGAAATTAGATTGCAGCCCTTCTACTTTGGGTCTGCATTGTCACGGGGGTATTCCATTCCATTATTACTTAGTATGCACTCTTCTAGTACTCCATAAAATCTAAGTTTACAAGATTAGTCAACTTTTGATTAATTGAGTCCTAACCAAGTTCACTCAGCTACTCTGATGCCTTGTCTCCTTCTAACTGCCTCTGAACTCCAACCACCACCACCAACACCAGTTCTTTGGCACTACTACAGCCAACCCATGATGGCAAACACAGCTTAATTTATCACCAATCCAACCAATCCCAATCCATTACTTCTGTTGTCAACTTTAAAATACATCTTTTTTTTTTTTTTTAATTTAACGGTTAGGAGTGTTCAGGTTAACTTATACGTAGTTGACTAATTTTTCCCTTGATCTAGTAAAAAACAACCGCCGGTTTATGAAAATCATCCGGTTCATGGATTTGGTAGAAAATTGATCGGTTTAAGGATTTTCAAGCGGTTTGATTCCTTCTCCAGTTTAACTAGAAAATCGGACCAATCTTAGTCCTGGGTAACAGTTGAACCGATTCGACTAACTGGTCCAGTCCGATTTCTGATAACACTATTTTTCTGGCTTAAGACTACAAGTTGAATAACGTGCAAGCCCACTGAGTTTTATAAATTTTGCAGAACCTTTATTTTACAACTCGTTCTTATTATCACTTAATTATCTTTTAAGATTTTAAAATCCATCTTCGATCTCTCACTACCTCTCCCTTCTCATCTTTCAATTATCGGCTACCCCAATGTCATTACCACTACAAGTCATTTAATTATAACTTTCAATTTCAATTTTAGAGCTCATATCTCATTTCTTCGTTTTTCTCTTATGTAATCTCTAACAATAATAATTGAGTTACCATCAAACTCAAAATAAAAAATTAGAAATCAAGATAATTACTATATCTAATATTATTACAAAGGGAGATAAAGGGTTTGGTCTCAATATAAAAAACATTTATGTACCCTTATTTTCTTTTCACTTGAATCACTCATCATTCCTTATCAATTTCACATGACTGTTTGTATAATTTATTTTTTTGTCTCTTTTTTTTTTAAAATTTTTTTTTTTTGAAAAGAGAGAAGGGGAAAGAGACTTGAACCTTTAACCTCAACAAAAATAAAGTCTTTACAAGATTAGGAGTATCATTGAACCAAATACCCATTAGTCTGTCTCTTCTCACTCACATTTCTATCATCTTTTGTTTTATCTCATTCTTTACACTCACGCGAATCGGATAGTCCTATGTAGAACTCATTATTATCTATAACTACCTAAGATGACCATAAGACATTTACTTAGTTTAGCTGAATTGGTAGTTGTGATAAGCCACGTGGCTAAAGGCCATCCAAGTGTAGCACTTTTATTGGATTCCAGACCCCTTCCTTCCTATCTAAGGAAATGCTTGCCCTCCGCCACCATAACCGCTGCTTTCTGTTAAAATATTCACTTGGTAAAAACGAACTGCCTTTGAGACCCACCAATAATGGAGTGAAGACTTAGCATGGCAAGTAAAGATGTTTGTTTTATTTATAGTAGGGCCCTCGTAAATATTGAAAAATTTGTTTTGGTACCCCCTTTATTTCTTTGAATTTTGTGATTGGGACATCAACCAATTCTTTCTTTTCTTAAAGAAGCGCACCACACGCGCCTTTCAAGGACATGTTTGGATGGTTTAGAATGGAGGGATTGGATTACTTTAACAAATCTTTGTAAACCCAAAGTCTTTCTTTTGTACATGTGATTCATACATAAATTATCTTCAATCCTTTGTTGGTAAGTAGCATAAACATTAATCACAATTATAACTAAATTTTTGCCATGTAATTGACTAAATTGTCTTATCCAATTTTTTGTAAATGGGTAGATTAGGGATAGAAAAGTTATTTTACTATTATATCCTAAGTTGGTTGATTTCAACCCTCTCCCCCTTCCCTTGGGTTTGTTGAAACTAATACTCATGGATTTAATTTTTGAGTCAGTTATGGGCCAACCAAACATAGAATTAAGTGATTTAGCAAATTATTTTATTTAAACCCATCTTTTAAAATCCACCCAAACGCATCAAACCATCCAAACATGGTAAGCACAAATTTATATTGTAAGCACAAATCCAAATAATGCTTGAATGATTTTGTGGGTCTTGTTTTATATTATAGATTTTCCCTTCTTTTTATTTAAGTTTTTCAAATGATTTTGAAGAGACTCGTTGATCATAGATCTCAAATGAGTTTTTTGACAAGTTGATCTTGAGTCAAACCCGACTACTTTGATTCTTTTCCAAGCATAACCATCATGATATTGACTCTTCTACAAATATTTAACCCTAAACAAAAGGAGAGTAACATAAACTAGAAGGATGCCAAGCCAACAGGAAAGACTGGTGCTTAGAATTATTGGCCTACTTTACACACAAGTTTGGTGAATGATTAGGCAATTCGGGGGGCTACTTTAAACTTAAATAAGCCAGATCTCTGGGCTCCATGGGCTATTTTATTTAGATTATCCCACTGAAAATGACACCAAGTGGAAATATACCTTTTGAGTAAGAATATTGAAATTCTAACATTACAAGGAGGCTAAATCTTAAACATATAACAATTTCCACTCCAAATCAAGGCAAAAGCTATCTTTTTTGGGATCCTAATGCTACTTTTTAGTGTTTCTTAAAGGCTAGGAGAAGAGATAAGGCACCCCAACAAGCTCAAAAGGTGCTTGGTTTGTTAAAATTAAATCTAAGAGGCTTATTATTTTTCTTAACCTTTTTGTTTTCTTCGACTTTTTTGTATTGTTTTAAATGGAGATGATTCGGAGACCCAGGGATACTTATGTTTGTCGAATATTATAAAGATTCAAGGATTAGATTAAATATGTAATATGCTTTTGTTTTGATTACATTCACACGGTTGAAACACGGTGGATTAAGAGTATGTTGAGTTTGATTCCACTTATCCTATATTCTCTCTCCCTTTTCTTGGAATAATGAGAAATTATTAAGAATAAAACATGCTTTTACACAACCGAATTGATTCAAGTAACTTAAAAGGACAGAACTTCGAATACAAAGCATTATGCTTCTGGTGAGATTACCATGCTCACAAAATTTTTATGGATAAAGCTATATTTATATTTGAATTGTGGAATCTGATAATGATTTAAAATGCTGAGTTGTATACTTAAAGACTAATGAATTCTTCTAGGTGGTGTACCCATTAACAGTTCTTCGATTATAATACATGCTTTTTTGATTCCGTTCTTGAATAGTTGTTCAATTTCTCCCATCTGCTTCAGTAAGAGACATAAGGTTGAATCTCTAGCCCTTACATATAAACGGTGCCATTATGGTATCGAGTTTGGTAATAAAAATTAGTTGCAACTCAATCGGGTCAAATTATGGGTCGAAAAAATCAGTTACATTTCAATCAGAATTAATTTATGACTCAAAATATAAGTGTTCCCAAATGTTACGATTGATTCAAATATTTTTAAGATCGATTCCAAATAATCGATTACCTCATTTGATTGATTTGTAATTTTAACAGTTTGAAGAGTTGCTGTTGCTGATTGACACAGTGGCCCTAGATATTGGGCTCATAATATGCGGCCCAAACCCAAGGTATAGATTAATATTTCGGCCTAACTTTTACTGGACTGGACTGGGCTGGCCTAAATTTTGCTAACTGAAGGCAAAATCCAACTCTCTTTTAATTAGTAGTAGTAGTAGTAGAAACAAATACCAAACGATATACCTTGGGTCCACAAATATCCTTAGGGCTCGATCGGTCTCTAGTGGGGTCCTAATTTACAAGAAGAGTAAACAAGCAACAACATTTTTACGGGCTCAATTGGTTTCTAATGGGCCCAACAGAAATGCGGCCCTAACCCTAGGAGATAAAACCCTAGCCCTCTTCCTATAGATAAGCTTCGCCTTCTCTCGACCTCGGTTGTTATCTCTCGCTGTCCAACCTTCCGCTACTTCTCTCGACATTCTCATTCTCTCTCTGATCTTATACGATGGTATGCGTTACCGGACTCCAGATCTACAAAAGTTAATTCAACGATATATGTCTGCATATAGATCGTCTCTCTCCCTCTCTCGCACTGAATCCGATTTGGTGGTTTAATGCTTTGCAGGCACCGAAGAAGGAAAAGGCTCCGCCTCCGTCTTCCAAGCCCGCTAAGTCCGGCGGCGGAAAACAGAAGAAGAAGGTCACTCTCTCTATATATATGTGTGTGTGTGTGTGTGTGATAATTATATAGTATGTGTATGTGAGTGATTGATTTTGTTGTTATGGGGATATAATTTGAAAAAACAGAAGTGGAGCAAGGGAAAGCAGAAGGAGAAGGTGAACAACATGGTGCTGTTCGACAAGGCCACCTACGACAAGCTCATCTCGGAGGCACCCAAGTACAAGCTCATCACCCCTTCCATCCTTTCCGACCGTTTGAGGGTATAACAACTAATCCTTCTCTCCTTCATGATTTTCTGTGTTTTGTTCTAATTTCATTTTCGATGGATTTCGATTTACTTTATTGTTTGCTTCTCTATATTTGTTAGTTCGCGCATCTTCTCATGTTAAATAATGGATGTTTTGGTGGTATGAATGGCATTCACTTTGGAAACTCTGACTCGCTTATTTACTCTATGCTTGTTTGTCCGAAGAGTGACTTTGCACACAATGTTCTTGGGTTTCTGTTTATGCTGTTTGTATTTTTGGAATGCTGTTTGAAATATACCATTTAAATGTAATAAATTCCTTATCCTTCGTTGTATGCAATCTAGCATGATTATGTCCTGGACATCCAAGGACATCAATTTTCCTTCTTTCTTGGTTTTGGTGTCTTCGCATATGAATTGCATTTTCCAGCTCCAATTATGTAAGGTTAAATGGAAATCATTCCTGTTTTGCATGCATGATGTCATAGTACACAACTGCACATGATTTCAATGTTTATATGCATTTTGAATTCCCTCTCATTTTGGGTTTCATCTTAAAAATTAGAATCCTTTAGTTCCATATATTCGGTGTTAGTCTATCTGAAGTTCTGAACTGCCTTGTTTTTTCCGCTTTAGTCTTGTTTTTGTATACTTTGGTCTTGCTTGACCATCACAATGTTGATGTGGTCATTGGTTTAGCAATAATTATGTGTTGTTTAAGTTTATATATGATGGGGTACAAGTACAACGAGAAGCTTCACCTAGGTTTTAGGGAATCAATCCTACTGTTATTTCAAGTATAAGATTCATATGGCTTTCTAATTCTTTTGAGCGGTTGCCTGTTGTACACAATGAGATTCTAAAATGTTGATGCTGATCTTATGCATATGTTGTGTACCTTCTGATTTTGTGTGAACTTGCAGATTAATGGGTCACTTGCAAGGAAGGCAATAAGGGAGCTGATGGCCAGAGGCTTGATCAGGATGGTATCAGCGCATTCAAGCCAGCAGATATACACTCGGGCTACTAATACCTAAGTGTCTTATTCCCTTGTCATTAAATAGAACTTGATATGAGTTGGTTATTTAGACTCTTGTTTTGTTTTGAGTTACCGCCAATTTTCTCTGTCGCTGTGCTATGACATAGTTTTCCTGGGTCTTTCTAGATACTGCTGGCTTGAATCTGAATTTGCTGTCATATTTATCTTAGTTAATGGGGATTTTTGGAACCTTTTGAAATTATTGTCCAGTATCCAATATTTTACCACTTCATCTTCCCTGAGATGGAATTCTGGATTTGTTGGTTGGTTGTTTTCATAATCAATGTTTTCCTATGGCGCCATAGATCTGGTGGGAGAAATTTCGTGAAAAATGTATGAAAAGCCGGACTTTCGTTGGTCATTATAGATAGTTGGACAATACCTGGAACACTTTTCCGGTGTTCTTAAACCCCCTTGGCCTTGGGAACTAAAATGTGCAGAGGACTACTCCCATGCCATTCAACAGAGTGGGTACTTGTTGTCTGATGGATCTCACCAAGTTCGTAGGTTACCCGAATGATGCCTTTTTTCTCTGTGATTTTACCACTTTTTTGGTTTTTTTTTCCCCCAGTGACTTACCTTTGCTGATGATTAGAATTCTACTGACCCCCACTCCGGAAGAGTTAAAGGAAAAGTTAATTAAGAGAGAGGCAGAGAAGGATAACATCGGCTGAACAGAACGCATTCAAAGAGGTAAACCACGACCTCAACCAGACTAACCAGAAATTCACAACGCATTCCATTTCCTTGTGCGAGAGGTCCATTCAATAATTCACTTCAAAAAACTAAATTTCATCAAACAATATGTTGCATTACATGTAATTCGAGTGAGGTAGGGGACGAATGAACATGAGCAACCTACATTTTAGTTGAAACAATACTTTGGTGAGTTGAGTATTTTGAATTACATTCAAAGCCTCAAAGCTTTGCCAAGTAGCAGTTCATTGATCAATATACTCTGGCTGATCTCGTTTTTAGACAGCAGAAAGACCCCCCCGCCCCCTTGTCTCCTTTTTCTTCTTCTCTGTTCTCCCTCTCTCACTCATACAAATTAATATTGGAAAGAATTGCATGCCATTTGGTAATGGTTGGATTCAGAATTTTGCTCCTTTTCAATTCCCTATATTGTACTTCTTGGAGAGATGTGGCAACACAAATGTGTTCTGATCAAGTAAAATTCAAAGAAAGGGTAGTTCTACTGTTCAAACTTCTGCAATTAAAACTCCCAAATCCCCCACTCCATATCAAATCGCGAGTCACCAACAAAGTGAGCTGAAACTGCCCACTCCAAGAAAAAGAAAGAAAGAAAGAAAAGGCATTCCTCTAACACAGGAAATCAAATATGAAAAGAGGGCAGAAAAATTACCAATATGACATTTGGCCTTCCAAACTCCACAAAACGTTTGATGGATGCATGAGCATTTGTCAAAACAATGTTGATCATCAAGAAAACTAGCACCATCTGATGGATTGATTGCCAAGCCTTCATCCCAACTTAAATTGCTTCCAGTAGTGTTCTTTCAGAAACTATTTAGTATTCCATACTGTAAAAGAACCCCTCTTTTGCATCTCACAAGGTTGGAAACCACTCATGGCCTTCCCCATCAGCGCCATTGCCGCAAGGCTCGGAAATTGCTTCTTTTGCAAGTCCTCCAATGCCACTTTCAAACTTCGTGGCTCACAAAGTACCACTGCTTCACCCTTTCTCTGTGGAGTAGCAGCTCTATTATGACGCCACCTCTTAATCCAAGAATGTGAAAGTGTGATATCTCGAACTTTGCTTACCGAGTCTGCAGAAGACGATTCACCGTTCCTTAAGAGTGCTGTATTCTGATCTAGTGCAATCAATTCTTTATTACGACATTTGCCCATCATCAATTCTGAGCTAGTTATGCTACGTTTCATAATTTTGCTGAACTTGTCCACTTTTTTATGAGATGAGGCTTCACCCATATTCGAGCTCTTAGTACCAAGAGCAGAAGGATCTGAAGCACTCAATTTAAGACGCTTAACCCATCTGCTGCTTGGCTCAGGTCTCACAGGACCATCCGGGCAATGATCAGATTTTGAACTACTGCGCTGCTCAGCATGGGAGAGTAGTAGTTCCATGTCCAGACTTTGAGTTCTTGAGGTCCTTTGTTCTGCATTATCAATTGAGCTGGCTGTTTCGGGCAGGGCAGGAAGCTCTAAGTTTATATCAGGTAACATTACAGGTCGGCTGCATCCAACTTCCTCTCTTGCTGAAGCAATTCCAGCTTGTGGGAGCAAATTTGGGTCCACCATCATGCCCTGCCCAATTAGCAAAATGTCATGACTGGTATGTAATGTTTTGAAAATTGTTACATCATGAATCTTAATATGCCATATCATCATCAGATACAGTTTTCATATCATCATCGTAAATTATAAGATCATGGACAATCAATTTAAGCATAATCCAGTGAGCCGTTTCATATAATAACATCCATTACTTTTATAACTGCAGGAGAGCATGGGCTAGGTACGCGTTCCTCCGTCACATTCCCTCCCCCTTCCATTAACAGTAGACTCCTCCGCGGTGAGAATATTACAGGAAGTGGGAGTCATAGACAACTGGGCACAGATTTTATTGTTTGAAATTATCATTTCAGCTTGGTGCAGAGAAGTGTTAAGAACAAGAAAAAGGGGCAAACTAAGAAGATCACGGCGGAAGAAAATGCCTCCTCGAATGATGGAATTAGACATTAACATCCAAGAAAAAATCAGCACATACACATCTGACAGGATATTCCACAATCAACAGAAATATACTCCCTGCAAACTATTTGCTACCCTAGCCATTTTTGTTTAATAAAATGTGCTGTTTGCACGAGCACTTGACACGTAAGTTATTTAGACATCTGGCAATAGCTCTAACAGGATGCCTGGGAGATAAAATAGAGGTGTGTTTCAAAATCAATCGGCGCTGATAAGTAACCTAAAAGCACCAAAATCAAAGCAAGAGTACCTTGTTTGATGGGGAAGAAGTTCCACCTGCAGCAATCAAAAAGAGAAGCAAACTTGTAAGTAGGCAAAATTTGCATGACTATGAATAGATCTTTGGGACTACACGTGACCACAAATACATTAAACATATAAGTGGAATGCAGAACCTTCCCAATCAACGATGCAAAGAATACATACCAGAAAAATGGTTCCTCTCCTCAAAAACATTTATCTCCATGGAATCTGTTTCAGCTGATGATTCATTCTTCAAATCAACCTCAAAAGCTTTGACATCTTCAAATTTTCCTGTGTCTTCACTATCCATGGAGCTATCTAGAGGTTTAAGCTTTACTCCACGTTGACCATGACCAACAAGGGGAGATAAGCTCTGAAGTTCGCCAACCATATTTCCTTTAAATTGGCTGGATACTCTTGACTCTCTGAAAATCTGATCTCCTTCACACAAGTTCACATCAGTCTTTTTTGTGATCAAGACACTCTGAGTTGTCTGAGAAATTCTGGGAGGACCTCTGGGTAATCCCTCCATGGAATCTACAGTAGTGCATATTCTCATGGTCTCCACATCATGAACAGAATGTGGCATTCTTTGAATCGAGTGGGGGTGAAACGTCTCCAATTTGGTCGTCTGTGAAGGACAGTTCCTACTAGGAACCAACCCAATACTGAAACAATTCTGCATTCTCTGGGACTGTTCTCCAATAAACCCTGGTGAATGCTGGTTGCTGGTAGAGGGATCATTTAGGAATAGGTACGTGTTATTGTGCCTTGGATATGGAGTAGCAGACTTTTTGGAGTTTGGGCAGTTATGGGTTTTTTGCTCACAAACCAAAAGAGCTGAATGGCCGCGATAATTACACTGTTCATGTTCCAAAGTTACCAGGTTATTGTTGAGTAAGTTTCCATTGTTGAGTCTGTCTTCTCGACAGTCATATTCGTATGGAGCAATATGAGATGCTGATCCTGTAGTACCCTTCGTAGTCAAACTCTTCCTCCTATTTGGCAAAGGTTGAATGGAAAGTGTTGGCTACCTAAACTTTCAGTTCTCATATTTTTTGAACCTCTTGTAAGACAGGCATTCATGGTTTCAAAAGTTTTGGCCTCAGTTTTTCTACCACTGCCAACAGATTTACAAAAGTCAGATGCTACCTCTACTCCTCTAAGTAAATATCGTGGCTTGGTAACATGATCATCTCCCTTGTTTACAAAAGCATGAGATAAATGACTATGCATTTGAGGTGCTGCATTACAGCTTGTTCTCGACCAATGAGCCATCCAAGCTGATTGGTAAGAATGCAGAGATTGCCCAGCTCTCCCATCACTTCCGTTATTCGATTGTACAACATGATCAGACATGATGAGTTGAATTATATGACTAATGTTTCTAAGAAATTAGGTTCCCATTAGGGGTCCATGAGAAGCTTCTTCTATTTTCACCTGTAAGAAATTATTAAAAGACTGAAATTAGACAATGAAAGCAAGTCTGATCAGAAACATTTATCATGGTTGAAGAAGGATATAGTCAAAGGTTCAATCTACGCCACTGATTTTTAGAGGTACTCCCAAAAAAAAAAAAAGAGTAGTTGGAGCTCAAGTAAACAAAGAGCTGACATATTAAGCTTGTTGGCAACAAAGAACTAGAAAGGGCTTACAAATTAGAATCTTCCTTATAAAGAAGGTCATGACGGTAATCTTTTCATCCACCAAAAGGTAGCTCACATATTTTTTGATTTCTAAACTACTTCCCACCCACTCCCCCAGAGTCGGCTTTTCTCAAGTATCAAAAGTTTATCCAGAAATTTGGAGCACTTGCAAGTTGCAACTTTCTCAGAACAGAAACACCTTGCAATTCTGCGAGATTGTGACTGCAATGGTGGTGTTGGTGCGGCAACCTACTAATAATTATTTGCAATTTTATTCTCTTCCATAACAGAAAATAGTTGGCTAGAGTTATGATTCTTTGAGGGACCAAACTTCCTTCAATTTTACCAATAAGTTTTATCTTGTGATTGCAACTGAAACAAAGATTTCGTAAACTACTTGGAAAGGTAATGACAGAAAGCAACTAAATGCAATCATCATAAGCTAAAAGGAAGACCATCAAGGACATGATGGTGAAAGTTTACTGCGATGCTTTGGCCATGTACAAATGACAATCAAATGGATGCACCAATAATACTCAACATCTCCAAGATGAAGGCACTTCAAAGAACATAGATCAAGGGTGTGTCATTCAGCACGAAAGAAACAACATGATGGCCCAACAGAAAAGTGGAAATCCAAGGCAAAGGAGGGAGGAGCACCCTATTGGTTGATTCTAAATTCCTACAACCTTTTACTTTCCACAAATTTGTGACTGGTAAACCCTGTGTTTCATCATCTATGTCCAGTTATTTGTAGATTGGGCTCCAAGTGACGAAAACTTGAATGTTTTTGCGATTTCTTTCTATATCCAATGCTCTAGTGATGCTCTAGTGATCAGACCTAAAAGTAAAACACTTCCCTTTTTCTCTGGAATTCTATTAGCAAAGCTCGAAAATACACAAAGAAAGTTAAAAAAATTACATGTTGCCCTTAGAAACTATTTCAAGAGAAATTGAGATAAAAAATGTCAGCACTGAAGAAACATCAGAAGATTCTATAAATATTTCCAAACTATACCAAAAACTATTGCAATGACCGAAAACATCATGCTCTCAAAATACTAAGGTCTTGTTTGGTTCAGTTCCACAATATCCAAAAAAGTTCTCTGAGTTCCATAAAACTTCAACTTCCTTCATTTTTTTTGCCCTTTTTAACTCCGACAAAAAGGGAAAAACAACTTTGCCTACATGGATCCAAGATTACACTAATTTCAGGTAACATAATTCAATAGAACTAACGACTAAAAGCAGTACCAAACACGCCCATAGTTTATCTCAAGCTCTCAATTTCGATTGCTACGCTACATATAATAAGCTTGAAAACATTATCTCTTAGAGGACAATTAATTAAGTTAAACACAATGCATACATAGATACATGTGTGTGTAATACCTAATCAGAATTGGATTCAACGTACCCTTTATGAAGTTCAAGAAAACGATAAATCTGAAAATCCAGAGAAATTAGTAGCAAATTTGACTGCTCCGTACATATAGATTGAAAGAAGGAATAGAGATCGGAGATTCTGAAACTTGTTCTACAGTATAGAGATGGAGATAAGACGGATGAATTGGCTGTACCTTCTTCTCATATGTCCAAGGCTATGTGTGGCCAGCAGAGGTTAGAGATATTTATACATCAGATTCGTATGTGTTTGTGTATATATACAGAATTAGAGAGAGAGAGAAAACGTAATGAAGAAGATGAAGAAGGAAAAGTAGAAAAGAAACATATGGAAGCCGAGCTCCTTTTGTTTCTTTCCGCAGCCATTCTCTCTTAGCAAGCGGGAAGTGGGTGTGTGAAATAGGGGCCCACAAACTGAGCGGTGCTTTTCGGTGAAGCCTATACATTCTATCTTACCTTTAATTTTTTGGAAAAATTTCAACTACACCCTTCTAGTTTATCATATTTTTAAGAACACCCTTTCTATTTTTTGAATCTTCAATAACACTCCTTGTCAAATTAAAAATATTAACTAAAATATAATTTTACTAAATTTCTCATGATATGTTTGAGGACAAACTTCATCCACACCCCTCTAAATAAAACATATCTTCAATAAGACTCTCTCTAAATAAATATATCTTCAATGAAACCCCCTCTATTTTTTAATTTTTTTACGTATTAAAATTCGATTCAAGTTAATTAAAATTTATTTTTTTACATATTAAAATTTGAGTCAATTAAAAATTATATTTTTTTTACGTATTAAACTTTGGGCTAGTTAAAATTTTATTTGAGCCAATTAAAAATTATTTTTAATCGACTCAAATCAAATTTTCATCAATTCCCATTAAATTTTAATTAGCCCAAATTTTAATATATAAAAAAATTTAAATTTTAATTGACTCAAATTTTAATAAATCGAATTTTAATTGACACAAATTTTAATAAGTAAAAAAATATAAATTTTAATCGACTCAAAAGAAAATTTTAATCGGCGCTAACGACTCGGGTACAGTTCAAATCGACTCAAATTTTAATATGTAAAAAATAATTTTTAATAGGCTCGATTTTTTTTAAAAAATTTGCGAATTAGTAAATAAAAAATTAGTATTTACTAACAAATTATTTACTAGAATTGTTATTTACAATTTTTTTTTAATTTTAAAAGCTTGAATTTAATAAATTTTATGTAGAAAATTATTTGAGGTTTATGTAGGGGCATTTTTGGTATTTTAGATGAATTTTTTTTGTTATAAATGGTAGTTTAATGGTAAGATGTGTTAGTGATATTTAAATTAAACTAGAAGGGGTGTCAGTGATATTTTTGATAATAAAGGGGATGTTCTTGAAGATACAGTAAACTACGAGGAGTGTGGGTAAAATTTTTCCTAATTTTAAAATTTGTCTCCGATTTCAAAATAATTTATCAATAACTGGTTTTTTTTTTTCAAATGAGGCTTTTTAGATTATTTCCCACAAATACTATTGATCATGAATTTTAGAAAATAAAATTTTTAAGGGTAAATTACACTCATATCCCCTAGCATTTGACTTTATTACATGGACACTCCTTCATGTTTCAACAATTACATTGAGATCTCAATGATCAGACGAAGTTAACTATCTTAATAAAAAGATTATTTTGCTCTTTTGTTTAACACAAACTCAAACCCAACCCCCAACCTTCTCCTTAACCTTAATATTCGTCTCCTTTGCACCAGCAATCCCATGACTATCTCTTTCTCTCTCTAGGTGAATAACCAACCCGAAAATAATCAATTTTATCTCTTTCCCTTAGCCTATCACTATGTGTGTGTATATATATATTCATACATATATATATACATACACACAAACAAAGAGAGAAAAACCCCTACCTGAAATTGCAAAAAAATCGACAAAAATTATCAATAGCTCTCCACCACTGTAGCACCCTCCAGTAGCCACCCTCATCCAAAACGTCAACCCACCTAAACAAAGAACATTGGGAGATGAAGAGAGAGAGAGAGAGAGAGAAATTGAAAAGATCTAAAGCTTAAAAAATATGAGAAATCAAAAAAATAGCTGTGATTTTTGGGGTTCGATTTTAACAACAGTGGTTGTTGGATTATGTGTCTGATGTGATTTAGAAAGTGGTTGTGGAGACGAAAAAGGAGGTGGAGGTGGTGGGGTTTTACTGGTTTGTGGTGGTGGTGGTGTGTGTTGTGCAGATGAAAATGGAGATAGGGGGTAGGGGTTACTTCGTCACTGCAATGGTGGTGCTCTATGTATGTGTGTGAAGAGAGAGAGAGGTGGTGGTGGTGGTTTCCTTGGTGTGGAAGTGGTTGTGGTGTGGGTAATGGTGTTAATGGTGCACTTAGGAGTCAGGATTGATAAATAATTTACATAATTGTTGCATATTAACACAAAAATTATAGTAATTTAACTAATTTAGATTATGATATTAAATATTTGTGAAAAAAATTAGTTTAAATATGAAATATAAAATAGAGAAATGATAAAAGGAGATATGAGATAAAATTTTGGG